GAAATTTTATAGAAAAGCATTGGAGGTAATAATTATTATGAATCTTTTAATTCTATGTTTTTATTTGATTTTGTATGGACAACTGGAAAGGTGGACCTTTGTAGAAATAGAACTTAGGTGAAAAGGCAAGGTTCATGATGCTTTGAACATTTGGTTGGTGTTGAGAAGGTGCTCACAGATTCACCTTTTTGTTAAAGGAAAGGCTCTTTGGGGAGTTGCTTTTTGGCTATTATACGGAATATTTGGCTAATGTGAATATAGGGTGTTGGGGAATTTTTGGAGAAATGCAGGACTGGACTCATTTCAATTCCTTCCTTGGTTCTCTATAGCCGAACTTTCTATATTTTTTATTCTTAATGATGGGGCCTCTTAGTTGTAAATTTTGTTTTGTTTTTGTGGCTCGTCTTTCCTTAGCCATTTGTAGTTTCATTCATGTTAATGAAAGTTTGGTTTGCCATAAAAAAACAAAAAAAAAGGATTATTTTTACCCTTGTATTTAGTTGAGTTAGTCAAATTGAACCTTTAGGCTTCCTTTTCATTTTTACCCTTGTATCAGAATGGCTTTTTAGTAGTTTCAGAAGCAAGTTTCTTATTTGGTCTCAAGGAGATATTAATTTCACTGTTTACTCGTTGAAAATTAAGGTTAGAATTGAACCATTGAGTTAAGTATAAGAGTGAAAATGATATCTTCCCTAAAAAAATAATGATGGAACATTTTATATTCTCTTTCTTCTAGGTTGACTCCTTTTGCTTGAGCTAGTTTTTTGTATACCCCATGTGTATTTGTTCATTTTTATCTCAATGGTATATTTTCTATTTGTTTTTTGTTCTCTTCGGATGTTTTGTTCACTATCAATCAACGTACAAGGAGAACCAATTTTACTAGAGTGTAGAATCACCATTATTATATTGTAATGTTAAGTATTACAAGCAATTTTTATTTTTCCCAATGTTCTGAAAGTTGTGATTTGATGATATCTCTGGAAAGATTATTTTCTGCTTCTTGTTTTATTAATATGAGTTGTTCATTGAATGATTCAGGATTACAAGAGGAATGCATACGCAGAAGCAGATTTGCAGTGCTCGAATGCTATACAAAGCATGGAAAAGAGGTTGAGAGCAGCTTGCCATGCTTCTGATGCAAATATAAATAATGTTGTGAAGGTAATCCAGGTTTAATTTGTCAATATTTTGGGTTGAGGACAATTATTGTGGTCAGTTTTTAACACGGACAGTTTGGTTTATTTATAAAATTAAAGTAATAATTAGCTATGTTCATGATTCTGGTGGGCTTGAAGCAATACTAGGTGTTGAATTGACTATGTTTGGTTGTTATACAATATAAACTTTGATTTGCACCTAAGAAACCAAAATTTCATTAGTTATATTATTCTTAATAGCTGATGTTAAGTCACTTGTCCCCTGTTTCTGTTCTTAGACTGTGCCACACCACAGCTGACCATCTTTTCCAGCCCTTATTGAAATTTTATCCTTCTTAGTCAAAGTCTTGTCCCTCCTAATGTCATTATTGATTCTAAATTGAGTTCCCCATTTTGATTTGGTTGCTAACATGTCTGTGCAGGTTCTTGGTGCTCTTCTGTCTGAATATGAAGCATCATGCCATGGTCCAGGAAAGTGGCAGAAACTTGCCACGTTCTTACACCAAAGGTTTATATTCGTGTTTGTCCACGCGTATTTTTTTTTTTGGATTTTTTGAATAATATGACTGATACCATTAAAAATTGCAGTTTGGACGGTCCAATACATGACCTTATAAAGAAACTAATAGATCATGTGGGATCAGAGAAGAATTCTCTCGCTTTGAAGTGTCGCTCATTTGAAGACAAGCTTAATTTGCTTAATAAGCAGCTGGAAGTTAGTGAGAAGAACAAGTCTGAATATCTGAAGCGATACCATGATGCCATCAATGATAAGAACAAGCTTGCTGATGACTACACGAATAGAATAACTAATCTACAGGGTAATTGCAGTTCTTTAGAGGAGAGATGCTCTAGCCTGAAGAAAACATTGGACCAAGCAAAGCAAGAATCATTAGATTGGAAAAGGAAATATGAAACTGTCTTATCAAAGTTGAAAGCTGAGGAAGATCAGGCTAGTTCGGAAATTGCAGTTTTAAAGTCTCGAAGTAGTGCTGCTGAAGCAAGGCTGGCTGCTGCCCGAGAACAAGCTCAGTCTGCTCAAGAAGAGGCAGAAGAGTGGAAGAGGAAATTTGACATTGCTTTTAGAGATGCTAAAGCTGCTCTTGAGAGGGCTGCAGCTGTAGAAGAACGCACAAATAAGCAAACAAGACTTAGGGAAGATGCTTTGAGGAAAGAATTCTCCAGCACTTTGGCTAAAAAGGTAAGCCATCATCACCCACCATCGCACACAACTCAGAAACATTTGCAAACATTTTCTACTTTGGCACTTGAATACTTGGAGTGCTATAATTGGAAAGATCTGAAATTTATTCTCACGATGCAGGAAGACGAATTGAAGGACAAGGTAGCAAAAATTGAGCAAGCCGAGCAGCATTTGACAACTTTAAGGCTTGAGCTAAAGGTAAACTTCTTAGACCATCTGCTAACATGCTTCATCATTCTTAGAACTGAAGGACACAATAGTACGACTTATACTACAACCTGTGGAACAGATCCTGTTCAAGTAAAGTGCCCTGTATTACATCTCTCGTTCTTGACTGGGTGGGGGAATACAAAATATTTTAGGTCGACCTTGCTGAAAGATGTTGTCAGGATATTTTTTAGTTGATTTATTTACTCTTCAAATGTTTAGTCCTAATAATTAAAAACTACCTTTCTTGCTTTGTGATGATATGGATAACTTCCACAAGCGGTAGAGTGTTATGGAAGAATCTAGACCATGTCTATGTTCAAACTTCTAAACAATGTGGTAGAATTGCAATGACATTGAAAAGACTAGGTGATCCATGGTGATGAGTGACGCCTTGGTTGCTGAAGTCAGTGTGGTGACATGGCTACACAATAAATAGTTTGAAATTAATTTTTCTAGCACAAAAATAAAATAAAATAAAATAAACAAATAAAATCCTTAATGGTATTTCACTCTACAATTTTAGTTTCGTTCATGATGCATTCTGTTTCAAGGCTTTTTCCAACATTCATATCTTTTACATATGTGGATATCAGTTAGCATTGCAATGAAAAACAGATCACTTTCATATAAATAATGTTTATTTTGCAGGCTGCTGAGTCAAAAATTGGGAGTTATGACGTGGAAGTATCTTCTTTGAGGCATGAAATAGAAGAGCTGAAAGAGAAGTTGGAAACAACAAATGCTAGGGCTCAGTCATTTGAGAAAGAAGCAAGGATCTTGCAACAAGAAAAGCTTCATTTGGAGCAGAAGTATTTGTCTGAATTCCAAAGGTTTGATGAAGTTCAGGAAAGGTGTAAACTTGCTGAACATAATGCTAAGAAGGCTACTGAAGTGGCTGATAAAGCAAGAAATGAAGCTAGTGCTGCTCAAGAGGGAAAGAATGAGATGCAGAGGTTGGCAATGGAGCGGTTGGCCCAAATAGAGAGGGCTGAGAGGCAAATCGAAAATCTGGAAAGGCAGAAGAAAGATTTGGTGGAAGATGTGCAAAGAATTCGGGCATCAGAAATGGATGCTCTGTCAAGAGTTGCATCCTTGGAAGCAAGAGTTGAAGAAAGGGAAAAAGAAATAGAGTCTCTATTGAAATCGAACAATGAGCAGCGTACTAGCACTGTTCAAGTTCTTCAGGGCCTCCTGGATACAGAACGTTCTGCGCATGCTGAGGCCAACAGTAGGGCAGAGGCTCTCTCGCATCAGTTGCAATCTGCTCATGCAAAAATTGATCTACTCCAACAAGATTTAACTAAAGTTCGTCTCAATGAGACAGCATTAGATAGTAAGTTGAAGACTGCTTCTCATGGGAAACGTCTAAGGGTGGATGATGGTGAGATGGGCATGGAATCCGTTCAGGACATGGACACAAGTGAAAGAATTCTAAGAGTAAACAAAAGATCTAGGAGCACAAATAGTCCCATGAGGTATACTCATCCAGAGGATGGTGGCTCAATTTTCAGGGGTGACGATGATAATCATAGCCAACAAACAAATCAGGAGGACTATACCAAGTTCACTGTCCAGAAGCTTAAGCAAGAACTCACAAAACATAACTTTGGTGCCGAACTGCTTCAGTTGAAGAATCCCAACAAAAAAGACATTGTTGCGCTCTATGAGAAATGTGTACTGAAACTATGATATACTAGATTTGTTTTAGGATTTGTATAGGTCGATGATGAATGTATTCTACATGGAGATGAAGTTGTTGATCCATCTAGGACTAGAGAGCATTTTCAATTCTTAAGGGGTTAGTTTTGTGGATTTTGTCATGACCATCTGAAGGGGTGATGATACTCCTTCATGTTTCTGTGGTTCTAGACTGCCACTCTTGAGGTTAGATTATTGGTTCTTTGGCGCTGAATTTTCTTGCCGTCTGAGTTCTAGGATCAAGAATGTATTTTGCTTGAATTATCGTGTGAATTCTTTGACCTTTTGTGAGTCTAACTTGACAGCCGCGAATGTCTTCAGCTTTGGCTTCACTTTCCAGTGCTCTCCTCTCTACACTTTTCTGCTGTGGAAAAATTTCTAGCTTTACAACTCTTAAATGCAAGTTTATTAGGATAATGAAGCCAAAACAAGAAACTTATGGCTTATGAAGAATGAGATTATAATATTGTTTTTCGTATAAGGATTAGGATATTTGGACCAAACATGAGAACAGATTTTGTTTAGGTGGTGTTGAAAATTAAAGTGATGACTTAACGTGTAGGTGCACAAATTTTCAGAGGTTAGTGGTAGTGGTATTTGGTAGAGTTTTAGAGGCAAGATCTTAGGGTTGTAGAGTATTGTGGGTAACTTATTCTTAAGTATTTAGTGAGGTTTTTCGTTCATATTTTTCTAGAATTAGATTGGACATAGCTCATAATTGGAGTAAATTAGTATAAATCTATTATGTCATCTCTATTATTGTGTAAGTAATATTCTTGATGTGTAATTTTTCCAACATAGCAGTCTAAGAAGACTCTTGTACACAAAATTTGCTATTGGGCTGGACCCATTATCAATTGAATTGATTCAATTCCGAGAATTGAATTTGAACTTATCTGACAGTGACAAAAGCTAGAAACAAGTTTGGGGATGGATTATCCGACAACAGAAGATGCATTATCATCTCCATCTCCTAATAAAACCGAGCCAAATTCTGCAATATCTTCTCCATCTTCCTCTCTTCTGCCGGCGGCCCCTAATAATGGAAATTGGAATAATGGGATATTATCACTGCAGCTGTAATCAACAAATACAGCAGTTTCCGGCGAATCGACGGCGGCGGAGGAGGGGCACTGGCGTTGGCGAGGGTGTTTCTGGAAGAAGACCTTAGAAGCCACCAGTTGGCCGTCTTTCTCGTCCTCCGTAACCCCCAGATGGTACTGATGCATTATCCAGTTCGTCTTTTGGGCCTTCCTCTCCCTCCCACAATTTGAATACAGAACCAAAATCTTCTTGAAACCCATCACAGCCCCGACGCCGCCGCCGCCGCTAACCACCGCCCTTGTCTTGCCGGTTTTGTGCCATCTTGTGTCGATGCCTTCTTCCTCTGATTGAACTTTCCGGCGCTTCCTTGTGCCGGCGGTGTATGCTTTTGAGGGCCGATGAAAAAAGTGCCGGATTTGCCCATCTTCTCTCATTCCTGCACTTTTCAACTTGTACTATGTTAAACACTCAATATTTAAAATATCTCTTAAATCTTCTACTTTTTCTATTGTTAGTGTAATGTTCTAAAAGTATTGGAATGTGTGACCGAATTTGGCGGCAAATTAGATATAGCTATGGCAAAATGGGGAAATGAAGGAGAAGATCATCTCCTCCATGCACCTTTCTTTTATATGTCTTCCTAAAGTTTAGTTAATATTGTAAAAGAATGTGAAAAATTCTCTCTCTTCTTCAGGTTAACATATTCTCTCTCCAACATTTTTCAAATTTTATTGCTCCAAAATTTATCTCTCTCCAAGACATATTTCTTCATATTTTTCTAGTAAAATGGTAACTATTATAACCCTGACTACGAGGTTGGGAACTAAAAGAAAAGAAAAATGTATCTTTGATATACCATTCCAAATAGATTATGTAAATATGTGTTTGGCAAATTTGAAATACCAGAAATTCTTAAAAAATGATACCCAAACACTTACTCTAAAATAATAAAAAAACAGGAAACACAATTATGATTTTCATTGAAAACTTGTTATCATATTTAAATTTGTAATTCACCAATCAAACACACACCTTATGTTCTCCTTTTTCTAATTTTCATTCTTTTTTCTTATCCCCTCTTTTTCCAACTTTCCTATTTTTGAAATATATTTATTTTTCTGAGTTATTTTTTTTCTTCTCTATAACTTTGGATTCTCTAATTTATTTTTCTTTCTACGAAATAATATTGCTCTTTAATTTCACTCGTCCTAACTCTTAGCTTTTTTTCCCTCCAAACATATCTGTTGTCCTTTAAGTTCCTCTCTTCTGGTAAATGAAATAAATAAATAAATAAACATGTCTCTTGAGAATTTCTCTGTGCCTAAACCTTTCATATTTTTCTCTCTTAACATAAATCTCTTCTGTCTAACTTTTCTAAAACAAAAAATCAATTTTATGTTTTTCTTTAAATGAAAACTAAAAACCGAAATAATAATTATCCAAGCTTAAATTT